GGTTCCACTTTTATAGTTCTTTCAAATGACAAAATTACAGAGGAGAATAGGTAAGAAGTAGCTGGGAGCTGTGGAGATAGGGAGGGAGGGTCATGGAATGTTCGGCATTGAGAGTGGTGGTTACGAGATTCCGTTGTCTGTAATAACATTTAGAATTACACGTGCACGCATGCAAGCCAAACTGGTGAAACCTAAAATACAATACCTGGTTTTGATTTGTCCTATGATTAAGTAAAACACACCACTAGGGAGGCTGGGGAACAGGAAGGACCTCTCTGCACTATTTGGGCACTAGCTGAGTCTATATGTATATTTTTAAGTATGCCAGAATAAAACTGTACAAAATAAATACATGGCAGGAGGGCAGTAGCCACGACTTACCTTGCCCTGTTCCCAAAGCTTTCTGAGAAAACACGACCTTCTTTTTCCTACTGGAGAATAACTGTCAGTTTAATTACTCAGCATAATAAATACTTCTCTGATGCTCGAGGGAGAGGATTTCAAAGAGCACTTGTCCCGTGAGGGGTCCCCGAGGGGGGACCAAAGACCGCCTTAGGGCAGAGGGTACAGCTGGCTGGGAATATTCTGATTTGGCTGAACAATTTAACACATGACCTGAATGATGACTGTAAAGCCCGAACCTCACGGACAGAGTCTGGACACTAACACAATTTACCTTCCGCACTGATAAATGTCTGGTGTCCCCACATTTCCTACCGTGGGAGACTATTAGGAAAGAGTAGAGATGGGGAAGGGTGAAGAAGCTTCTGGCAAGTACCTGGCCACGTCTGAAGACATGTGGTTGTCACAGCCAGTGAGTAGGGGGCTGCGATTAGGGGCCAGAGGCGCTGCTCAAAATCGTGCAACACACAGGGCAGCCCATTCCCCATCCCCTACAAAGACTGACCAAGCTGACAATGTCCAGGGTGCCGAGGCTGAGAAGACCTAAGAGGCCACACCTGCCCACATTCACAAATCAGAGGTAGAAAACTACCAGCGGACTCCAGGTCCGGCCCCGAGCTCTGACCTCCTACTGGAACCGGCTACTGGAATAAGAGAATCTAGCCTGTGGTGGCAAAAAAAACCCACCAACACCGCCACCGAATGTTAGAAAATGTAAGTCCGATCAAAAATATAAGTAAAAATGGAGCATAAGGGGGAAGGTTGAAACAGCTTAACTTTTTGTCAGTCTAAAAAAAGGTATGTGATGGGCCACTTGTTCAGTGGCCTCCAGAGTCAAGGACAGGACCACGAGCTGCCACAGGCAACAGAGGAAGCCACGCCGTCCGCAGAAGCCTGGTCCCTGTATTCAGGACCCTCTGCAAAAGCAAAGTGTCAACGTGTCCACACGTGCGCTTTTGCTTCTGAGAACAGATAAGATAGCTCGGCCATGTGCGCAGGTGGGTTTCGAGACTGGGGCTTTTTCCTAATGGTCCGTTGCCCAGCCCCCTCCAGGTTCTAGTTTCTTCACCCTTCACATGGATAAATCCCCCAGGGCCACAGCATTAGAAAAACAAAATGCAGGTGGAAATAAACAGAATCAAACTTGTATCAAATGACAACAGCATATGCGTTGTCAAAGGTATAATAAACATTTCTATTTCAAAGTTCATAGACACATTTCCGAGGTTAATAAATAAGCTTTAAAGACATGCTCACCCCCTACATACACACCCTAATACGGTTGTGTGTTATTTAAATCTCCGTGGTTAGAATAGCAACCATCTGCCAACTGTTGTTGCCCAGAGTTAACTCACAAGGACACTATAATGCAAAGAAATAAAAAAAATTTTAAAGCCCATGCAAACAATTCTCCAACTACATATCCAATGGTTCCCCGGGCAGTGTATAGCCTGGCCCCTTGCGTGACCTTTGGTCTTAAAGGAACATCCCTAACCATGCTGGGACAGAGAGGCTGGGGCAGGGGAGGCAGGCGATATGAGTCAACAACCTTGCTTGTAACTAACAGAAAGAAATGGCCTTTCTCCTCCCCTCTGGCTCACAGAAGACCTAAAAGTGGAAATGCAAGTCTAATGTCACAAGCTAACTTCCTCTGCTAATCAATGCACTTCATTAAGATTCTAGTAAGAAGTTACCAAATCCCTGGGATTATAAAGCCATCAGGACAGGGGCATCTCCACTGTACCCTCTATAAGCTGTTCTGACATTTAAGGTGCTGCTCTGATATTCAAAGTGATTGATATCCCAATTACCCAGATTTGGTTTCATGACTAGATCAAGTCATCACATGTACCCTGAAATATATACATCTAATATACATATCAATAAAATATATTTTATTTTAAAAATATATACATCTAGTATACATATCAATAAAAAGTAAATTTTTTTTTAAATTTCAGGTTTTGGAGCTTTTCGAATTTCAGATTTTCTAATTAGGGATACTTAATTTGCATAATGAAATTAAAATATTGTGTAGCAATTCTTACAACCAATAATCTATCACACATAATTATCCCTTTGTTTTGAATCTAAACATTGCCATACATTTTATTGGCACATAAGCAACTACTATCTTGCCTTAGAAAAGCAGGCCTTCAATGAATAAAAGAACCCGCTAAGAACCACAATGACTCAAGAAAGGTTTTTCCGGGTGGTGTCTGTAGCTCAGGCAGCTAAGGGGTCCAATGACATACACCAGAGCTGGCGGGTTCAAACCCAGCCTGGGCCTGCCAAACAATGACAACTACAACGAAAAACTAGCCAGGCATTGTGGCAGGCACCTGTAGTCCCAGCTACTTGGGAGGCTGAGGCAAGAGAATTACTTAAGCCCAGGAGTAGGAGGTTGCTATGAGCTGTGATGCCACAGCACTCTACCCAAGGGGATAGCTAGCTTGAGGCTCTGTCTCAAAAAAAAAGAAAGGTTTTTCCCTTTGGCATTATTGTCCATAAAACATAAATTACTGTGAATTTCTTCACTATAACCATCCAGCTAGTGATTTTGCTAAAATATGGAGAATAAAAATAGATTTATGGAAAATAGATTAGGGAGTACATATCGTTATTTCCCATGCAAACATCACTGGCTCATCAACAGACCACCCAAACATGTGCAACTATAATTACATTCATTCATCTTTGATAATTTGCTGCTTTTCAGCAATAATGTTTTTCGATTCTGTCCTAGGCAAGGTTTATTTGTCAAGGTAGAATAGACGACAGTTTACTTACCAGTGTGTGAGCTAGGCTTATAACTTTTAAATATTTAGAAATGTGATCTGGGGCTCCTGCCCCACCAATGACAGGGGGCTTCCCATATGCCTACAAGTTTCTTGACGTTCAAAGCTTTCTCAGTCAACTATTAAGTGAAAACATCACATATAGAGGATTAAACATCATACTTACTACAGCGTGAACTGGCAATCCGTGTCTTGTGTGATCATTTATTTGGTCGCCACAACCACAGGTGTGTTTGAACCAAAATGTATATGGCGTAGAAATAAAGTCGCAAAGCATTTACCACGAAACATTAAGCGTAGGACCAAGAAAGATTCTTTTTGTCATTTATTGTGACATTTTCTAAATTTTCTAAACTTATTGCATATTCATATTCAGGATTAAAGAAAGAAAAAAATGAATTTAAGAATACAGAGAAAAATATATCGAAAAATACAGTAAATATGTTTATCAAAAACTTTGTATTTAAAACAAGAACACTCTCAATTCTAAATACATACCTAGTAACCTAATGCATTTCATTAAAATTCCAGTGAGAAGTTACAAAATCCCTGGACTCATAAATAAATCATGACCGGGGTATCTCCCCTGTGCCCACTAAAAGCTGCTCTGACAACTCTGAAACTCTAAAACTACTGCTGCCAAATAACCCCAAAATCTGCAAACTCTTTGATCAAACATTTCTGCTCCTGGAAAATTTTATCCTCAAAAAATAAACATGTGTGGCTTGGCACCGGCAGGCAACTCAGTGATTAGGGCACCGGCCACATACACCGAAACAGGCAGGTTCAAACCTGGCCCCGCCTGCTAAAACAACAAAAAAATAGCCAGGCATCGTGGTGGGCGCCCGTAGTCCCAGCTACTTGGGAGGCTGAGGCAAGGGAATCATTTAAGCTCAAGAGTTAGAAGTTGCTGTGAGCTGTGATGCCATAGCACTCTACCAAGGGCAACATAGTGAGACTCTGTTTCAAAAAAAAAAGAAAGAAAGAAACATGCATGCAATGATCTAGGTATAAATGTGTTTATCTTCTATTTTCTGGCAACAACCTAAAATCATCATCTAATGATATATTCCCGGAAGAATGGGCAGGGCTAGGACCTTTGTCCTGGGCCTAAGCTAATAAAAAGCAAAAATTTATACATGGTGTCCCCAGAAATAAGCACATATCACTTGGATGAATTTCTTTTAACAAAGAATTTTAACAAGTAGATCTGATGAGCACAGACTATTCATAGAGTCAGGCCACCTCTCTGTACAATGTACCCATATAACTCACATATTAATTGATTCACATGCCATTAACTGATTGCCCCCTAAACAAAGCACAGACATTTTTTAAACTGATGAAATTCTTTTGGGACTCAATATTGGGTGAAAAACCCACTTACAAAAAAAAAAAAAAAACAAAACCATTGTAGTCCAACATCCACAAATCTCGTCTTATCTTTGCCCTTAAAGTATCAACAGATAGTAAAGGTCAACATCCCTACCCTAAAGCACAAAAATTCAACCTTGCCCGCCTTTTCCTTTGTAACAGAAGTATGTCATTTTTTAAATTACCATAACTTAAATGATTTTATACAGAGGAAATTTTAATCCTTAAGAGCAGATACAGAAGCCTGGGTGCAGGAAGAGCTATTAGCTAGATGACGTCCACGCAGCACTCCCTTGCCCTGGCTATATGTCAACAGACCTGTCCTAGCTTTGCCCCAAGAACTCTTAACACATTTTCCTGTAACTGGCAGAGTCAGATGACACGTTGTCACGTGACATGAGATGTTAGATTAGGTCTAGCGATGCGTTTTCTCTTAGCAAGGCAGCAAAATGTTTCGTTCAAAAAGTGCTCTTTGAGAAACAATCTGAGGTGTGGTCCTGATCACTCCATGAGCTAAATAATAAACTGACAAAACACAACTGATATGAAGAAACTGACAACGCAGTCAGATTGTTTAATCAAAAGACTTTCTGAAATGCCGACCGGAGACTTTGATTTGAAGCCAAGCTGGGCTGACCAGGTGGAAGAGGAGGGAGAGGACGACAAATGTGTCACCAGTGAGCTCCTCACGGGGCTCCCTCTGATCACTGGAGACACCAGCCCAGAGCCCAAGCTACTGCCCGGAGCTCCACTGCCACCTCCCAAGGAGGTCATCAATGGCAACATAAAGACAGTGACCGAGTACAAGATAGATGATGATGGCAAGAAGTTCAATATTGTCTGCACCTTCAGGATTGAGACACGGAAGGTCTCCAAGGCAGTTGCGAGGAGGAAGAACTAGAAGAAGTTTGGGAACTCAGAGTTTGACCCCCCAGGGCCCGATGTGGCCACCACTACTGTTAGTGATGATGTCTCTATGACATTCATCACCAGCAAAAAGGACCTGAACTGCCAGGAGGAGGAGGACCCAATGAACAAAGTCAAGGGCCAGAAGATAGTGTCCTGCCGCATCTGCAAGGGAGACCACTGGACCACCCATTGCCCCTACAAGGACACCTTGGGGCCCATGCAGAAGGAACTAGAGGAGCAGCTGGGCCTGTCCACTGGCGAGAAAGAAAAGCTGCCAGGAGAGCTGGAGCTTGTGCAGGCAGCTCAGAACAAGACAGAGAAATACATACCACCAAGCCTTCGGGATGGGGCCAGCCGCCGTGGGGAGTCTATGCAGCCTAACTGTAGAGCTGATGACAATGCCACCATCCGTGTCACCAACTTGTCAGAGGACACACGTGAGACCGACCTACAGGAGCTCTTCCGGCCCTTTGGCTCCATCTCCCGCATCTACCTGGCTAAGGACAAGACCACTGGCCAGTCCAAGGGCTTTGCCTTCATAAGCTTCCACTGCTGTGAGGATGCTGCACGTGCCGTTGCTGGGGTATCTGGCTTTGGCTACGATCATCTCATCCTCAATATTGAGTGGGCCAAGCCATCTACCAACTAAGCCAGCTGCCACCACACCACTTGGCCCTGGACCCTTGGCAAAAGGAGACAGCCTCTGATGGGGGCTCCAGCTCCAAGGACAATAAAAAGGCTCAAGATGCAAAAAAAAAAAAAAAAAAGAAGAAGATGCTATCAGGGTACCTCAAAGAATACACAATAATTGATCGAATTGGAGCGTCCTACCTTGTCTTTTAGTAAAATAAACACTTCTCAGAAATCCCGTTTTCTAAGTGCCTTGTTATGTAAATCTTCCTAGTGTTGTCATGAGGTTGGGCCACTAACTTTAGATACCAAATACAAATTAGGGACATGTTCAAAAGCAGATTAACATTTTCCTGAAGGGTTTTCAGGGTTCCTAGGGTATGAACAACTTGTTTTCCCAAACTCCCATGCAGTTTTCAACTTGAAAATCATTGTCCTGCTGTATAGGACACCCCATCAAAGAGCCTAGAAAAGATGATGTACGTTTATGGCAAATGATGCCATCAGGACAAAAAGCAGGGCGGTGAAGAATTTGCCATGGCTCTGGACATAGCTTGCCTGGGTTCAAATCCTGACTATCATTTGCTAGCTGTGCAACACCAAGCCAGTTACTTAACCTCTCTGAGCCTTGCTTTCTTCATCTATGAACTGCTTACAATTACACAGCCTTACTCATAGGGTTGTTAAATGGATTGAGTGAGTTACTAAATGTAGAATGCTTAGCAAGGTGCCTGGCACATGGTAAGTATAGTTGTCCCACTTATTTATGGGAAATTGGTTCTAAAACCTCCCACAGATACCAAAATCTGCAGAAAAATTCTGTACTTGTTCAGTAGAGCTGCAATTTTTTTCTTTTCTTTCTTTTTTTTTTTTTTTTTTGAGACAGAGCCTCAAGCTACCCCCCTGGGTAGAGTACTGTGGCATCATAGCTCACAGCAACCTCCAACTCCTGGGCTCAAGCAAGTCTCCTGCCTCAGCCTCCCAAGTGGCTGGGACCACAGCACCCACCACAACGCCCGGCTATTTTTTGGTTGCAGCCGTCATTGTTGTTTGGCAGGCCCAGGCTGGGTTCCAACCCACCACCTTAGGTGTACGTGGCTGGCGCCTTAGCCATTTGAGCCATAGGCGCCGAGCCTGGAATTTTTTTCCAAATATTTTCGATCTGTGGTTGGTTGAATCCACCAACGCAAAATCCACAAACACAAATGGCTGACCATACCCAATAAACACCAGCCATATTTATTATTGCCTTCAAAGAACTGTGAAATGCTTCATAATCAAGGTTGGAAGCATCTTTCCTCCCCTGCAAAAGAATCTGTGCTTTGAGGGAAATACTTGCTATCCAAGGATTGCATCCCAACCTTGAGGACCTTTCAGTGCAAACAAGGTGATAAGATTTATTTATAAGTGACCTATTTAACCTCTTGAGGCTCAATTTACTCACCTGAAAAGTGGGGCAGAGGTTGGTACAGAGGGTAAAGCATCTGTCTGACAACAGTAAACTCCTTCTAACAAGACCCAGAGAGAGCAAGGAAAGAGAACAGGGGTCACCATGAACTAGACCGGTCAGAGACGGTTGCAAAAAAGAGCCAGACATGTGGGACACTCAATCCGCAGCGAGGACCACAAAGGACGGTGCAGAACTGGGTAACAGAACCTGTGGAGTGGGATCACGTGCAGGAAAGAATGAAGAGGGAGTTTCGAGATCAGGAGGCCTTGAAAACCAAACTAAGGAATGCGAGCTGGATTTTAAAAGCAGTAAGAACATGTTTCAGACAGAATTCTGGAAATACAAAGTCTGCCAGAAGTGTATAAACTAGAAAAAAAGAAAGCAAATACGTGCAGTCCAGCACGGGAAACAATACCGGAGAACAGCTTTAAGGTGGAGAGTTCCCTGCACCCACAAGTACTGCTATTTCATTCACCATCAGAGGCCACTCAGTCTGAATTTGTAAGTACAGTTATCAAAACCAGCCTTTTGTTATTACTCACCTTCTCTGTGCCAAGTGCTCTGTAAATCTTATCTTAAATTCTGCAGATAAGTATGCAAGGTAGACACTCTCATCCTCGTTTACGACCAGAGGACTGAAAGCCCAGGAAGGTCAGACCACCTGGCTGCCATGCCCCAGGGGGTGAGGGGGGAGCCAGGCCTTTCTGCTAAGAGGAGGCACTTTTCACTCAGCCTAGGGGTGGCTAGGCAAGGAGCCAAGCTTAATAGAGATTTCTTTCACTGGTGGCTCATTCTTGAAAGTCCCCTACAAATTAGTGACAGGAAAATGCCACATACCAGTTTCTCTGAATCCAAAATACTGAAACTCATTGATAATAAGGTACTCTGCGTCCTGTCCTGTCAGTCACAACAGCAGAGTGCATGTTCATGGTTCATGTCCTCAAAGGGGAAGCCACTTAGAGCCAGTGGAGCTGGGAAAGCCAACACCCTTCTCTCTCCTGCACCACTCTGGTTAAAGAGTAAAGGCCCTGCCCCAGCCGATCTGCCCCTGATTCTGGGAGAACAGCAGGCCACATGCCATGGGAAGACGCAGTCCTTCCCTGCCG